CGGTATCGAATAAATCAAATAACTTAGAGTAAGCATAAACCGCTTTCTCCGGTAATTCGGCGATTGCTTTCTCAGACCACTCTTCGGGTAGTTTCGGGTCCAAAGACTTGCGGCCAAACTCTAACCAATTTAGCGACGCGTATACAAAATAACCATTTATTACAACTAATATAAAGTTATAAATCATAAGAATTTCGCGCAAAACAAATGGATTTCGGTTTTTCATAAAATTTGGCCCCAATTTAGTGACAAATAAAAGCCATGAAATCATAATCGTTAGGAACTGTTCCGGTCCTCCATTAAATAAGAAATATGATTTAACCCTATCGTCGGTTTCATCGATCCAATACTGACGCATGAAATAAACGAATACATTATTGTCTGTGAAAAACGAGGCCATAATTTATTCGTTAACTTTAATTTTGCTGAAAAATAAAATTTATAGAAATTTTAACAATATTTTTATGTTTAGTTAATATTATAAATTGTTAAAAATTTTACTAATATGATATTCTTAAAAATAAACTTTAATTGATTGACATTTATTGAATTATTCACAATAAATAATTTATTATTGATTTTTGCAATAACTAATTGTTAAATTACATTGTTTAATAATTATTTTGAATAAAATTTTTATAGCTTACAATACAATAAGGCAATGTTGGCTAGGTGTAGTAGTGACCACAATTCACACAAATAATAACATACAAATATTTTATAAAAATTATATATACTCTTTTGATGTTAGAAATTGTAACTTATTTGTTAGGGAAAAAGAAAAATGCTAAATATGAGGAAAATAGTTCATAGAAATTAATATAATTTGCATCAATCAATTGATTTATTTTAAAGCTATTTATTGCAATATAAATAAAATAGTGGTTATGGTATTTTGTTTAAATTTTAGGTAAGTTTATTTTACATAAATTTGCATATTTGTACATTTAATTGTAACATTCTCTTTAATCTATCAAATTTACGTTGACAGTTCTCTTGTTTCTATTTCTATTTATTTGAATTGTTATATATTTAAACTCAAAACAAGGTCCACGCACCTATGTTATACGTTAACCAAATTCGGGTATTGCTCAAATAATAGATTAACATGATTTACAGATTTCATATCAGTACATAAGATTAACAATACAAAATGTAAACTCACAATAAATATACACGATTTGTGTGTTATTACACTATTTGTGTAAATTCAATAAAATTGCATTTCTTTTAATTTAAGAAGTTAATTTTTTTAAAAGTGATAAAAACTCCAAAATAAAGTTTTTTTTGCTTTACATATTAATATAATAATAACATTTAACATTCGTGGATCAGTTTGTTATTAAATAACATATAACTTTTTTTTTAAATTATGGATTAATGATATTTCACATACTTTTAATTAAATTTTAAAACATTCAGAGATTTTACGTATTTTATGTAGATTCAGCTAAAGTCTTTATTACTGTGTAGTTTTGATACATCAGTTTTTCAATATAAAATAGAGAATATGTAATAGTGCTCTAAAACCACTCCAGAGAACAGTGGTTAAAGTGTCCAAATAGAGAACAGTTCTCCGAAATAGAGCACATGTGGTCACACTAAACATATTATTATACGAAGCATGATATGTAGTTTTTGCATAGATTTTGAATTGTAATAACTTTTTTATTTGTGATCACAGACTATTGTTTTATATATCAAATTAAACAGTGTTTATCTGGCTTTAAAATACATATCAATGTTATGTTAAAAACATGTCTGAAAATCAATTAAACCCGTCGAAACGGGATCACTATATAAAAATACTTTCCAGTCTATGTTACACCCAACCAATGATTGCCACAACATTAAAAATATATTAATTAAATGTGAATCAATCAATAGTTAATCTTGTATTAAACTTAGTGCTTAAAAAACATAAAAATCGTCCCATGTTTCGGTTTAACCCCGAAAACGATTACCATTAAGAGTGCGCACCGAAGCTAACATTCAATATGCTGTAGCAATCATTGCTTAAGTATAAAATAGACTGGAAAGTATTTTTATATAGTGGTCCCGTTTCGACGGGTTTAATTGATTTTCAGACATGTTTTTAGCATAACATTGATATGTATTTTAAAGCCAGATAAACACTGTTTAATTTGATATAAAACGGTGTATATCTAGTGATGAGAGTTCAATAACATTAAATATGAGATTCCCATATATTCAACCCCTGACCCCATTTGTGTCAAACCTAAGCCGCGTCTAATACTTTCACTTACACTTATTTTGCTAATGTTTTTCAATTGAAATGTACTCTAAAGTTATTTTGATATTTTGTATGACTTTTTCATTTGAAATGAAACTAAATTTATGTTTGAATTTTGTGAGGATTAGAGGAAAAGACGCGAAACATAAGAATTGGGAACGAATTGAAAACTATAATAATAGCATTAAAAATGAATGGATAGGCAGTCAGTCGGGAGTGAGTGAAGAGTAGTGTTCAGTCAGTTCTGGAGACTTGAGTCTAGAGTTTGGACTCAGAGTCGTGTTGTCTATAGTTTCGCGTCCTTTGCTTTAATTCAATAGTTTTGTATTGAATTTATGTGTAATTTGTTTTGAGAGTCGCGACTGAAGGATAAGTCGAAATAAAATTGTTTAAAAATTTGATTAAAAGCATAGAAGAGCAAAGCGAGCATAATTGAGCATTGGCATTAATTGCTCTAATGTATTTTCTATGGGAGCATAGTGTTGCCAGTCTAGCTTTTAAGCCTATTTGATCACTCCTGATTAAAAGTGTTTAAAAAGTTTATTTTAATCAAAATTAAATGTCTGACTACACGCCCCATTATAGATATATAAAACAATAGTCTGTGATCACAAATAAAAAAGTTATTACAATTCAAAATCTATGCAAAAACTACATATCATGCTTCGTATTCCTGGTTTTTCTGGCTATCAGCCATGTTAACTTAAATTAAATTGTTCTATCTGCCCTAAAATATATAAAAATTGGGATTCAATTCAATCCTCTGGTCACAGAAAGGAATACAGTTTTTTGTAAGTAAACAACTTGCAAGAAAACATTGGTTTATAAGTTTTACATTAATATGTCTTACATTTTATTTCTAATTATGTATAACAATGACAAGGTGGTGACCAGAATCATGGTGAGTATTAAAGTTGGTAAAAACAATTCAAACGGAAATTTGTTATAAAATTTATTAAATAAAAGATTAACAATTCCAATACTGTTAAGTTTGCTACATTCAAATTTAATATCAACTTTTAAATTTCGCAATCAACAATAAAAAAAAATAATCAAAATGTAGAGCATGGTTAAGCCATTTAAATTTGCCCATGGTAACCGGTTTGTCTAATCGCAAAGCCGATAGCAAAGGGCGCGTAAATGAGCGCAAGTGTGATGAGAGCGGTCGCGATCTCAAACACTTTACTACTTCGCACGGAGTGCTCGTCACCGCTCCGGCGCTGTCGACCTTTTACCACGTCGTCGGATGCCTTGCGGAGGTCATACGCCCAACCGATTTTAGCGAACAAGTCTATGAACATTGTAGCAGGGTTGAATACATCCATCGCACCAAACTCGCTCGCTGAATAGTCCCTGGGTAGAAATCAACAACATGTCCGTGTATTATAAAAAGTCTCGTTAAATTTAAATATTTATAAAATTACCATGGGAATGTATGATGGTAGTTGTGAAAACCCTCGCCAAACATCAAGTGCCGTATTGAACACTCCACCGGATTTATGGACTTATCGTAGGGCTTAATGTGATCAAATACAATATAAATAATATAATTTAAACAATTAACCTAGCTCATCACATACTTTGTTGCCCCACAAATGCGCGGCGCTATTAACACACCATGTTACATTTAGTGTGAACGCGTACCGGAGCATAACGCACGTGAAATAGGCATTCCATAGGCTCTCACCCCACAGATAGTACGGGGTATACGTGGGTATTACACCCCAAATGAGTGCCACCAGAGGTATATAAAAGCGGCGCTGAAACTGTATGAGAGGGTCGCGATCGAGATCACTCATGTCGACAGTCTTGCCCTTTTCGAGGACCTGCGGGTGCTTTCGGCACAACAGCCAACCGACGTGTGCGAAGAAAAAGCCTCGTTTGGCGTTATGCGGGTCGGCGTCCGTCTCCGAGTACTTGTGGTGCACTCTATGGTCACGACTCCACTCATAGATGTCATTCTCGAGGGCCAGTATATGCATAAACGCCAGTAGAATCTGTAACGGGAGTTTGGCCTTATATGTCCGGTGACACCACAGCCGGTGGGCGCCGCACTGTTACACAAATGTTAAATTAATCACATGTTTATATATTTTAATATATACTGTATTGTTGTCAACACATACCTGAACGCCGAAAGAGGACAAAAGTGATACAAAATACATGTAAAAGATGGTCATTGGCTTCGCGAAGAACATACCGATGTAGAGGCCATATAAGGCCGAGCCGTGAACGATACACATAAGTATTACATTACGCCAAACGATCTCAAGCTTATAGACGGGCGCGGGTTTGCCGTTAATCTCGACACCATTTTTCAAGTGACCGTCATTTTCGTGACTTTTGGTGGTCGATAATTCAGTCCTATTTTGTTCATTATAAACATTATTAATTATTTAATTTTATTTTAATCTAATTTGATCAATAAAATAAAGCCTAAAACCTTACATGGTGACACTTGTTCTCTGGAATATATTATTTATTGGCAATTCACTATAATTGTAATAATGTGATCAATATCTTACTAAAATCAAAAATAATTTTAAATAAATAAAATATTAAAGTGAAAGCACATTAACATTAAATAGTTATATTTATAATAACTTAAAACCATTAATGCTATTTTAATTTACGTCAATAATTTAATGCAAATTATTGTTTGTGGTAAATATATTTGTAATTGTTATCGAGATGAGTCAAATGATTTCAATCATTGTATGTAATTATAATAAACAATTTATATAGAAAAACCAATCGTATTTAAATATATTTAATGAACATTTAATGGGAAAAATGAAATAAATATTTTTTAAAACTAACAATTATTTTATTTTGTGACACTTTTTTTGTCATTTAGACAAATAATGCATTGTTTGTTAAAAATCGATTTATAAAAACATATAATTACTTAGTTGACAGTTGACTACTCAAGAAATTTGAAGGTAGTTTACGTAAACTACATTTAATTATAGGCATAAATTATCACAAAAATTTAATTACAAGTACATATTAGTACATTATATTGGGATAAAACAAATACAGTAGTATTATTGTAATCTAAACGGCATACACTATAATTAATATAACCATTAATATTATATTTATTTTATTAACAAATTGGCATATCACTATTAGTACACATGTAACCACAGCATTATAATTACAATATATACTGTTTTAAAATGATATATAAAGTATAAATTTTTGTAAAAACTTATTCATTAATCAAACAAACAGACAAATTAAGAAGACATGGATTTGACGGCACGATCTCAACGGACCTCACGAGCGGCTCCGGCGGGAGCCAAACGTCCTGTGGGTCGACCCAAGAAAGCCATGGATATGGAGGCGCGGGTGCGGCGAGAGATCGCCAACCATAGGGAGAGACAACGGGTGAAGAGTATTAACGACGGCATACAGGCGTTGCGGGAAGTGTTGCAATCGGACGACAGTCAGGCCATCAGCAAATCGGCTGTCCTTTTCCGGTGCGCCGATTATATACTGTCTCTCGAAAGGCATCTCTCGCTTCACATCGAAGAGAATATTTTACTTAAATTTTTGACCGCAAAGAAATCGGTTCCCAATATCTAGTGTTTTACCATAATTTACATTACATTTACATTATTTTTTTTGTATTTTGTTTATTTTAAATATATCATTTTTAATAAATTTTTTAAAAATTTATTAGCTTGTTTTATTTATTATGGTAAATTATAAATAATGAATGTTATCAATTATGGAAACAATGAGAGCTAGAAAATGTTTATTAAATGTTGAGAATAGACATATTTTTGAAATCAATAATTGCTTATAATTATTAACATTATCATGTAAATAATGTAAACCATACAAACCAATAAATTTTATAACTAACTTTACATATTCCGTGTTATTTATAAATTTATTAAAATTAAAAAATTATATTTTTCACTATTTTTAACCCACATAAAGTCCAATAAACAACTGTAAAGATTTTTATGTACACACTGTATTTAAGTAAACACGGTTAAAATAAGAAGTATAATAAAATTATATAAAATAAAATATATACCCAGAGCTCAAATGAACGCACTTAGAAATTGCCTGCAATACACGCGTTATTTTAAAATACAATTAACGCTCAGTATATAATCAATAAATAATATTTGGTAGAACAATTGTTTACTTTATAATTAAAAAATAAAACAAACAAAAACATTAAACACATAATCATAAAGTTTCTTACAGTTAATAAATTTTAAACTCCATGCGAGAAACCCCTTATTGATTATATGCTGAGCGTTAACTGTATTTTAAAATAACGCGTGTATTGCAGGCAATTTCTAAGTGCGTTCATTTGAGCTCTGGGTACATTACACTGTATGATTAATAATGATTATAAATAAATAATTATAAATGATTATTAATCATATATATAAATGCATATAATCATTATACTGTATATTGCTATTTATAGTAACAAGTACGTTTTTGTAAATTGTAAATAATTTAACCATTGTAATTTTTAAATAAATTTAAGACAGTAGATCAATTATACTTAAAATAAATAAAATTATTGTCAACTTATATTTGACTGATTAAAAATAATATTACAAATAAATGTACAAATATGCAAATAAAAAACAACTTGAAAAACAATATTATTTAATTTTGACAAAATACCATAATTACTATTATATTTATTTTTCCAATTAATATATTTATAATAATTTTAAAATAAATAAATTGGTATCGGGAATTTAAATAGATTAATATAAATTACATTTTTCCTTTTTACCTTTAATATAAATTGATAATTTTGTTGTAAATATTGTTTAAACAAATTTTATTGGTTGCTATTTGGGTTAATACGTGGTCAATACTAAACAGGGTTGTTTTATTGTGTTGTAAGTTGAAAATATATTATTTTATATAAATTGTAAGAATAATTTCTTGTTAATAATTGAGTATAACTTATTACACTATCATATGGCCGGCATCTGGGTCAAACAAACGACCTAGAGATAACGGGTGGCCCAGTGTTGCCTAATCAATAAATGGCCCTTTAGATATACACTCAATAATTCAATTAATAAATCAATTAAAATCAATTTTAAAAATATCATATTAAAAATTAATTGTTTTACAATATATACAGTAAACAAAACTACGGTTAAAATTTATATAAATTTTATTTTACAACAGAATTAAAGACAACCAACAAATTATGGGTACATTTACTACAGACAACAATATGATCGTTTATTTCCTCCGTCAGTATTGGATCGATGAGACCGACGATAGAATTAAACCGTATTTCCTATTCTCTGGAGGACCGGAACAGTTCCTAACGATTATGTTTTTATGGCTTTTATTTGTCACTAAATTGGGGCCAAATTTTATGAAAAACAGAAATCCATTTGTTTTGCGCGAAATTATAATGATTTATAACTTTATATTAGTTGTAATCAACGCTTACTTTGTATGCACGTCCTTAAAATGGCTAGACTTTGGCCGCAAGTCTTTGGACCCGAAACTACCCGAACGTAATCAATGGTCGGACAAAGCAATTGGCGAATTGGATGTAAAGATGTTTTATATTTATACGAAATTATTTGATTTATTTGATACCGTATTCTTTGTGTTGAGAAAAAAGTCAAATCAAATCACATTTCTTCACGTTTACCATCACTTTATGGGTAATTACTTTTTCCCTTATATTGATTTGAATAGAGCCGACGGAAAGTGATGGCCGGGAAAAGATGTTTAAACTAATTTAAATTTCTTAATCATTTTGATTCATAACAACAGTTCCTGTGTTGGGATATATGGCGGCCAAACTGTGTCTACAAACCGTAACCCTCGAAGTGTTTTGTTTGCTTAACTCTATTGTACACACAGTTATGTATAGCTATTACCTGTTGTCGGCATTTGGACCCCAAATACAGCCCTATTTATGGTGGAAGAGATATATCACACGATTGCAGTTAATACAGTTCGCTATACTTATAGTGTACGCCATATATTGTGTAATGTTTGGTGATTTATCTAAATATCCGGTGGCTCTCAAATGGTTAGTTTTTATCCAACCGTTTGTCTTCTTTTATATGTTTTTTATGTTTTATTTAAAGACTTATAAAACTAATACAAAATCCTCAAAAATAAATTAATTTACAATCATTTTACATAAACATTTGTAGTGTAAAATGCCCATAATTATGTCCATCTTGTTTTGAACTTATCTTAAATTTTATTGAAATAAAATATAATTAATTAATATAGATCAATGCATAAAGCGTCATGAATCTTATACACTATTAAAAGCAATATTTTATGTGATGGTACATGCTGTACCTCTACAATGTTGGACACATAGAGATTAGTGATTAAAATTTGAGCGTCGGATTTGCGATACAATACTTGTTTTAAGCACAAAATTAGATTTATGAAATTTAATTTTACATTTAAATTTTAGATCTAACTTATTTTGTCAGGGAGATATTTTGAAAGTCGAGTGGACAGGTATTTTTCGGCAGAGTAAATATTAATAAAGATTTATTTCTATGCAGCATTATAATTTTTACCTATCCCCATTATAATTTGCTAGTCTGGTTTGTATGCTTTATGTTGTTTCAAATGTCAAAATGTTGCATGATAATTAGTTTTAATTGTTCAAATATTATATTCAAATATATATTGATATATAAATTAATTTTTCTTTATTTATTTTGATTTCAATGTGAGGAGAATTTAACTACAATTTATAATCTTTTATCTTAATTGTAATTAATTGGGTTTTCAGTTTATTAATTTTTACAACTCTCAATTTAAAGATAATTTATATAATTATGTAATATACAAATGATCAGGTAAAATTTCTTAATTATTTCAAAATAGTTTTTAGAGATAATTTATTTCGGGCGATAAATTTCTTTATTAATATTAAATTTTAAAAAATTAGTTAATATAATCATTGAATATAAATTATAATGTAATTGAATGGAAAACTTGGTTAAATGAGTATACAGTATACCAGTAGTTATTATAGTAATTACACAATTAATAAAATCTTTGTAAAATTTAAACACAACTGTCAATAATGGATATTTTAAATACAACCCATAATTTAATTAAATATGTTTTATATGAGTATTGGATCGATGAGACCGACGATCGGATTAAGGACTACTTCCTGATGAGTGGAGGACCGGAACAGTTCCTAACGATTATGTTTTTATGGCTTTTATTTGTCACTAAATTGGGGCCAAAACTCATGGAAAACAGAAAACCTTATGTTTTGCGCGAAATACTTATGACTTATAATTTTATATTAGTTGTAAACAGTTCCTAACGATTATGTTTTTATGGCTTTTATTTGTCACTAAATTGGGGCCAAAACTCATGGAAAACAGAAAACCTTATGTTTTGCGCGAAATACTTATGACTTATAATTTTATATTAGTTGTGATCAACGCTTACTTTATATACGCTTCCCTAAAATGGCTGCAATTTGGACACAAATCGTGGTTAACACGACTGCCGGCCCGTAACGAATGGTCAGAGAAAGCGATCGCCGAATTACCGGAGAAAGCGGTTTACGCTTACTCTAAGTTATTTGATTTATTTGATACCGTATTCTTTGTGTTGAGAAAAAAGTCAAATCAAATCACATTTCTTCACGTTTACCATCACTTTATGGGTATTTTTCATGCATTTCTTATTATTGTGTTTAAAAATTTGTAATAAAAATCTTTATATTAATTTTAACCCATAGTCCCTGTGTTGGCATTTATAGTCGCAAAACTTTGTCCACAAACAGTGATCGCAGAAGTGTTTTGTTTGCTTAACTCTATTGTACACACAGTTATGTATAGCTATTACCTGTTGTCGGCATTTGGACCCCAAATACAGCCCTATTTATGGTGGAAGAGATATATCACACGATTGCAGTTAATACAGTTCGCTATACTTATAGTGTACGCCATATGTATTTTGGTTTATTGCGATACAAATGGTTATCCCTTTGCAATTAAATGTTTAGCTTTTATTCAACCGTTTGTTTTCTTTTATATGTTTCTTAGATTTTATCTCAAATCATATCGAAATAAAATTAAAATTTAATAAATATATATTGAAATAATAAAAATTAGCATTATTAAAATATTAAAATGTTATGCAAGAAATAAAGTTTAAAATTATCAAATTTTTATTTTTTCAATTTTGTAAGATAATAACAACATAAATAAGAAATAAACAAATTTCACCCATAAAGAACATACATTTTAGTACTTTATTTAAGGGGCCGGTTAATTTTTGACATAACATTTTTATTTAACATACGATTTACAAAATTCCTCTAGATTTCTATTCTTAGAATGTACATACGTCCCGTAGTTGTATATACGACCCGTAAGTAAGTATCTATTTTGTTTAATTTAATGAAGAGAAATTCAAAATCTGATTATCTGTTCAAAAGCAGTACTCCGTGAAAGAGGGTTGGATGTGCCCTTACATACAGTATATATTATATATTAGAGACCTTTTATTTATTTCATTTATTTTGATGTTATTATTAATATTTTGATTGTTTTACAATGTATAAGGGTATTCACAAATAAACCGGATTTTTAAATATAGTCATGTTTAAACGATTGCCAAATTTTTTTGGTATATGCCATCATATTAATTTAAACGCTATTTTATGCACTCATTATTCCTCTTTAATTTCATGTATAAAAAGTTCTAAAATTATTTCAAGTAGTGGTAATTTCACCCGAAAGTTATCGTATCGATAACATTGAAAAATATTACCTATTTTTGTTTTAAGTTAAAAGCACTAATAAATAGACTCACAGTTATAATATATAGAACTAAATCACTGTTATGGATATCAACCAATGATATGATTTGCTCAAAAGTTTTAAATCAGGTGTTTATAACCTTAAAGATCGCACCCGAACGGCCCGACACCGGGAAGTGGCCAATCGCGTGCCAAAAGTGCGGGTTGTGTACGATCCGCGATTTTTCCACATGGAATTGTTGGTCAACTTATACTTATACTGGAAAATAATTTGTGGCCATTTAAACCTAAGTGGGCATTTTTCAGAGCGTGTAATTGCATACATGTCTAAAATATGCCTTATTTTAGCCTATTTTTAGACCATATTTTTCAGAAAATTACATTTAAAAATTCTAAGGCTTTGGCCGACAAGTTCTCTCACACCCACCATATTCTCCTATTATTCCACTATCACATGACTTTTATGATCATTCTCTGCAGTCATGTTTTGGTGATAGAAATTGCAAAACAAAAGTAGTGGTTGAAATTTACTTCACTGACTTTGTTGTTTCACAAAACCGCCATTTCTATCGGAAAATAAATGAAATTTTGTACGATTGATGCCCAATATCTGCCAATTCAATCGGCTATTACATAATTTGAAATAATTGCTTGCTTCATAATTAAAAAAATAATTTTAAATGTTTAGTATTAAAGTCCGGAAATATGATGAATGATCTTATATTTACAGTACAATCCAAACTATATATAAAACAATTATATTTAAACTTCCTTTATTATAATTAAGTTATTTACAAAATTAATGTATTATTTTAGTGCTCACATACTATGTAAAACTATTGTTATGCTTAAAGCATTGATTCTTAGGTGACTAAAAAAGTGTTTTAGGTACTTATAAAGTTGCTTAAAAATGGCTGAAAAGGTGATAAAAAGGTGGTAAAAAGTTAAGAAAAAGTTAGTTATTTTCCGTTAAAATAGTACATTAAAAAGGTTAATTACATCCATTTTTTGAATTAAATTATATCACAAAATACTTTTTGAGATTTTAATCTAAATTAGCATAAATGAATGCCAATTAATTTGTAACATTAATATCCACAAAAAGTATATTTTTCTTGTTTTCCACTCATATTTCCTATCATCTCAACCAAAAACCTAAATACTTTTCTTAAGATTGTCGGCTCATGTATTACATCAAACACTTTCAACAATATTAACACTCAATGTATTTAATCAATTAATATTAAGGTAACATTTCCAAAAGATTATCCCAATTAAAGATAATTTGTATTAAAATATAACAACCATGATCATCACAAATGGAAATAAACTTTAAAACTACTTTCATATTTGTTGCCACTATTAATAACATTTTTGAAAATGCATGTTGTTTAAAATTACGATCCTTTCGAGTATAGCATTGAATAAAAAGGTCAAATGTATTAAGGATTTAAAAAATGTTTTAAACAATGTTTTGAAAGAAACATATATTACAAAATCCGTGGACAACATATTTACCATCATTTAAGTCGTTGTGTGCGGACATGCTTTCAATATAAATGTCTCGCAATTCTGTTTTGTAATGCATTTTAAAAATTTAAGACACAAAATACATGCCATATATTAGCCAAACATTTACCCGTAAATCAATTACCGGAGAGTATTGTTGAGATGATAGGAAATATGAGTGGAAAACAAGAAAAATATACTTTTTTTCTATCGTCTCAATGGTATTCATTGGACAGAATCGATAGTGAAGTGCATTAATATGTTATTTGAAACATTAGTTATGCCTCATTTGATTGCTGTCTAACATCTATCCGATGGTCAGCTCTGCTATTATATACACTTGTATTGAAAAAAGGCGTTTGAAATAGTGTGCAGGTATTGACTACATATAGCATCTCATCATTAAATAACGTGTTTCTTTCTCAACGAGTAAAAGCACTTTCAAGAAAAACATTTTTGCCGAGAAAAATATATTTCTTTTTATATATATATTATATATCTGTGTATTTATATATAATATATATTTCTTTTATTTGAGGCTCAAAAATATTTCACTAAAAGCAAAGCGAAATGTGATTTATTTACTAAAGACGTGAAGTGAAGTTGAATTCATTTCTCCGCCAAAATATTTGCCTAAGTTTTCTCCGCTTTCATATGTAATAATTCAATGTCTTTTGATTTGCAATTCATGAAAGCCGTGCTTTTGAATTGTAATCAAAATACAAATTGTATCGCTTCTGACATTTGCTTTCAATTCATAATTATATTTCGGTATTAAAATATCTGATTTCATAAATATTTAAATTTACCTTATATTTAAAAAACTCCATTAAAATCTATCGCATGTTTTATTTATAAGAATCTTATATTTGGTAATAAAATATGTTAAAAACAAACAAATTACGCGAAACAACAAAAATGTTATATAAAATCATTGGATAATAAATGACAAAATTCATAGAAACACACATTAATTCGCAGAAAACAACAAAAATAACTCATTAAATGATGAGTTGTTTGTTTTGGATGTAAAGCATTTTTGATGGGAAAAGTCATTACTTAATAAAATATTATTTCCTGAAAAAAGAGTAACATTTATATACAAATACTGTATATAAAGAGTGGAAAGGATTGAAACAATGGTTCCGATGGGTTCTGAGAAACAGCACATATTCTGTGCGGTTCGGCACCACTTGACTCAAGACTCCCTTTCCCTCCACTGGAAACAGGAATCGCATGAATACAAGCGTCTATTTGGTCGGTGTTTCTCTCAAATACATCGTTCATCTGTTCAATGCATGTATGTATTGAAGACTATAAGACTTATTTGGTTTGTGTGTTGAAGTTATGCAACACTGACTGCAATCGGTTTTACAGAAAACCTAATTCAGAAGAAAAACGCTATCTTTTTATGTCTGATTTGTGAAACAATAATAAGGACTCAAAGGAATGGAAATACATTTGAAAGCATTTATATTTATAAATAATAAGTTTACTTTAAAATATATATATTTTAAAGAATTTACTTATTTTATTGAAGAATATATTATATATATTAATACAAAAGTAAGAATACTTATATTTATTGTAATAATAATAATAAATATAAAGTTTTTTTTATTTATCCCAAAGGATATATATATATTGAAACGGAATATAAGGATAAAATTATGTTATATTTAGTGAAAATATATTCCAATAAAATGAAGCTTTAAATGCATTTCAATTTTTTGAGTTGTTATGAAAGTGAATACATAATAATAATTCACATCGGGTTTAGGGATACAGACATTAACTAATAATGCAATGCTTTTTCAATGCATCCAAAATAGCATTTACCTCAACTAAACAGTATATACAAAGGATTTACAGCTAATTCGTGGCATTTTTATAAACAGAATAAATGGTTATATTTGATGTCACGTATGGGACGGGAGGGATATATGTATAATACATGTTAAGTTATGCCAGTATTGTGGAAAGTTTTGCCGTGCATTTCACTTTTGATGTATATGGTATATAACTTATATAATATAAGATTTGATAATGCCTTCATCCCAATATCATTATTAAATTTAATATTACATTAACTATAAATACTTTCTTTATTATTAAATTTTACAACAATTTATGCGACAAATATTGTAAATAAATATTTTTTTGAAGCACACACTGCGACAGCAAATTATATTTTTATGGCTTTTGAATCATTTATTAATACCGTTGATGAATATAAATGAAAATAATAATTGACTTCATTTAGGAAAATAAAATATAAAATATTACATATCTATACATATGTATTATGGCATAAAATTCTGTATTAAATATATGCAAAAAATATTGTAGTGTTTACAGCATAACACTATATACACTAAATACAACATTAATCTAATGGATATTTAATGAATAAAACAAATTCCTAATGTTTTTCTTATTTATTTATACGTTTTCTCATGCATTCAATAAGAAAATTATAAAAAATAAGTAAAAAACATATTAACAATATTGTGGAGTAAAACAAGAAAAACAACATTATATACAATAGAGTAGTGGAAGAAATAAAAAAATGTTTTTTCATATACTGTATAGACTGTTGTGATGTTATATCAAAGTAAATGCTATTCTTATATGTTATACAACACAATATCTTAACCGATAAAATATATTACCTTTAATATGAATCCTAAAAATAGATTACAAACTTTATTTGATTACTTTTTTCTTACAATAAGCGTAAGCCATGGCTTATATATTGCATTATTTTATATTTTGATGTTTAAAAATGGCACTAAATATTCATATTCACCAATAGGATAGAGAATATTCTGTAGTGTATGGCATAACTTATATATACATCACATGTATACAGTATATTGCATATAAATCTAATCAATTTTTTTAAAGACTTCACTGTAACAGTACATTAAACTTAAGAGCTTTTATAAAACACTGCATTTTTCTTATAATATAATATTAAAGAAAGACAAGAGAAAACAAAGACAGCAAATATCTTGAAAATCAACGGCATTTTTATAGATAAATAGTTATTGTCTGTTATTTCCAAGAGTTAAGTATTAAAAATAAAAATGCAGTATTTTTTATACCAATATATCATAAGTTTTGAGTCGATATTAGATATTATTTTGTTGTTTTTAGAAATTGCAAGAAATAAATATATCTTAAAGTTTAAAATATTGAACATTTCTTATGTGAATGGAAGTCAAACAGAGTTATTGTACGAAAGGGTCGGCCAATCAATACCAGTGACACAAATGGGAGAGAAAATACTAAATAAGATATAAAAACAGAAATGGATTTCTATTTTTCTGGTCAAACACTGGTGACCATCGCTGGTGTGTCCACTCAACCGATCGCACTGTCTATCACTAACTTCTATTGTAATTCAATAATATAAAAAAGTAAAGCAAAAATAATAAAATATAATACAAAAACTAAACTATTTTTTTGTATGTTTCGTTTGGTTTGTTTCTTTACAATTTTTAGTTTCATTAAAATTTAATAATATTTTCTAACAAACAAAAGAGATTAAAGTTTCAAAGTTTTTATAAAAAGCTAATCACACGATGTCATTAATTATTACTTAGACAAATAAATTAAATGCTCCTTATAGAATTAAAGGTAAACTTATAATATGGTTAAATAGTGTCTGATTTAGCTAATTAGATATATTAATCAATAACAGTAATCTCAAGTTTAATATTATTAATATTTAAAATGTACTGTATATCAGACTAAAAAGGCATGATTTGGAGATATTATTCTGGAGATTCTGGAGATATATTGTTTGTATGCAATCCTTGTATTTGAAGATTAAGTTTAGGCAACATTTGAAAAAAATATTCATATTTTGCAGATTCATGTGAGTTATAAAGTCGTGACTTATGTTTTCGCAAGTGAGAGATGTTTTCAATATATAAATCTAAAATCAATTGCTTTTATTTCAATCCGATATACAATTGATTGTAGTTTAGAGTCTAGTGTTTGGAAAAAGCCATTCGTTTCCCTTTCGCGCGACGAGAAAAACGAAACATAAAAAACATAATAAAATACTTTCCCTAAAAATAATTTTCTTGTTTTGCAAATGTTTTGAAAAATTGTTGTCAAAGAAATCAATTTTACGAAATAATTTGTTTTCTGAACAGCAAAGCAAAAATTTTG